CTGCTCACCTTCAAAAATACTAAAAATAGCTAGTGTCCTTAATGACCAAAGTACTTATTAAAAATTCACTCAACGATGCTTTATAGCAAGTTACATAATCCCCAAGTAATAGTGCCTGCTCCTGTATTTCAGGACAAAACATTTATTGAATTTCCCCAGCATCATTATAAACTAAAAGACATGAAAATATTCGAGTAACTAAGTAATGTCAGTAGGTAGCAGCTACTCTGTAATAAATGTAATTTATTACATTTTCAATAACAGCAATAGACCTTGCATCTAACTTGGTTACTACTTGTGATCATTAGTTTCAAACGAGATGTTCCCAAGTAAATAGTATATGTTTTCTGTTAATTTGTTTGTGTTAATCCACAAAAGTCACTGAGTTTCAAACGTAGGTTATAATTTTACGTACTGGGCCAAAGTGTTTGTGACTTCAAGATTACTATTAGCATTTATCTCAGTTTCCTCAGAAAATAATTTGAAACTAGTAATTGCATCTATTGGACTTAAGCATATTGTGGCTGCAGCTCAACAAACAGTTCCCTTATAGCCTAGAAGAATCATCTAGCTCTTCATTTGTAACGGGCCTCATTTACTAATAGGAAGTAAACAGTCATAAGGAAGATCAGGAATTAATAGTAACAGTTTATTCTTAATCACCCATGTCAATGGAGATAAACAATGATACAGATAACTCAAATACAATAAAATAAATTATAAGTGTCATTTTGTATTTGGCTGTGCAATGTGTGCATCCTTAGATGTGGGGAATAGGCTTTCATAAGTCGCAATATTCCAAAATGAATAATGATTTTTCTTTTGAGCAGTGTCTTGGACAAAGCTAGATGCTATGCCAGCTTTTGCTTGCTCTTCACACCAAGGTACTTTTATTCTTTCCAGTAACAAATATTTATTGAGTGTCTATCTTGGTCTTAGCACTGTGCAAAGCACCATTCCTTCTGAGAACATGCTCTGACCTAGATACGGCTTTGCTCAAAGTAGAGCACTCCAGGTGGCAGAAAGGAAAAAAAAAAGGGTGTAGGGGAAACATAATCTCCACTTTCTTCTAATTATGCTAGAATGTAAATAAAAGGCAATAGCAATGCCCTCCAAGCTCAAATTAGTTCTTAAGGTTTTCAGGATGTCAACTATGGTGTAAGAGTCAAAAAAGGAAATTTTAAAAAATCAAGAGGAGAGACTTAATACTCTCTGGACTACTGGGTTTAGCAGTAGGCATCAATATTAGTTACAAAGGCTTGATTATACAAGGTATTACTATGTGAGGGCTGTATAAAAGATTAATAACAGATTCTAACAAAGTTTAGATGGACCCTTACTTTTGATAGGATAATACAGTCTGACTAAAATAAAGACCTCTTGATGTAACCCATGATCAATTACAGAGGAGCACTGCACATCAGGGCTGTTCTTGAAATCAATAACCATTCATTCATACAATTATTTACAGAGTGCCTACTATGTTCCAAGCCCTATTTTGAATACCAGAACAGATCATGGCCTTACTCTCCTGGAGTTTATACTCTTGTGAAAGGAGGAAAGCAATAAAACAGAAAAATACATTACACAGTGAACGAGTGCAATGAGATAAATAAAACACAAGATGAGGGACACAGGAAGTGCTGTTTTATATATGGTAATATATAAAGCCCGACAAAGAAGGCAGTTGTTAAGCAAAGGTCTAAAGGAAGTGGAAGTAACTGAGCAAGTCAGGAGGATGGCTAGAGGAAGAGCATTCCAGGATAAAAACCAGCATGTATCAAGACCCCAAGGCAAGAGCAGGTTTGGAATGTTCATGGAACGAGCAACCCTGCAGTAAGAATGCAGCCAGGGAGAGCACAGAAGGAGACAGGACAGAAACCAGGTCCAGACCACGTAGGGACCTTTGGACATCGTACTTTACTCTAAGTGAGATGAAAAGACAACAGAGCATTTGAAGTGGACTGACATGATCTGACTTTCTTACTGAATGATCTCTCTGGCAGTTGTACTGGTAATATGACTGCAGTCAATCAAAGGAGGTTATTATAATAAGACGGGGCGGCTTGTACTAAAGTGGTAGTGGTAGCGGTGTTGAGAATTGGTCTGAATCCAGACATATTTCCAAAGTCAAATTGGTAAAATTTGCTGGTGGACTGGATGTGAGGTATGAGAGAGGAAAAGACTGAAGAATGACTCCACAGTTTGGGGCTTATTATGTTAGAAGTCTATCAAAGCACACAATGGAAAATATTTAATTCCCGTCTCTCTCCAGATAATAAATTTCCGTGCCCTGCTTCTAAAAACATTGATGATTTCAAAACAGGTGAGTCTACTTGCCCAGAACAACTAAGGGGGATTTAAGATGTTTCTTGTCCCATGCGTCCTCTTAAAATATTTTTTTAAGAAAAAGAAAAGCTTTGCAGTATCACAGCTACCACTAGAGGGCTGCATGATGTTGTGCAGACACAGAGTTGAGAGAAACACACATCTGCCCATCGCCCAGGCATCCAGAACTGGCTACAAGAGACAGGAACACAGGACCTGCAGCTGAGAGTCAGTATTGAAAATGGCCCTGGAACAGGAAAGACCACTCAGAATTCTTAAGCCCTATGACAACTTCCTACTCAAAACATCATCTGCTTTTTGAAGTAACATGTCTGCATGTGTGATCACAGGTGCCAGGGAAATAAAGAATGAATGGAGAGATCATTAGCTGCTATGACCCTCTGACCAGTCCCAATGGTTCTGTTTGAGGACAAGAGAAATCAGGCTAAATTTTCTGTCTATAGAGGAGTATTTTTTAAATGTTATTATTTTGACATAATTCACTTTGAACTAAGAGCATAACAATATATCACTAGGCAACCTGGGCGAATTGAGGCCTTTGAAATGTGTGGGGTAAAGATGCCAAATCGTATTCCTATTTTAGCAATGCCAGTGGGCAATGCTGCAGTTTAGAAATAGTGACACTGGTTTCAGGGGAGACAAAGGGGTAACTGCAGTATATAGGTCATTCAGAACCTTTTCACCAAAAATGAAGAATTCATCTCTGTTAGAATGTGCAACTACCACTTTCTGTTCTAAATTTTAATCTTGCTTCTTAATTAGATTGAAGCAAAATTTAAGTTGGCTTAAAGTTCACTAAGTCAAATATTTCATAAGCTACTAGTTGACGTCTCAGTTCCCACGCATACACAAAAATAATAATAATCAACCATTTGTATACAAAGGAGGGAAAAAACACTTAATAAAACATATTTAATATCTTGTTAAAAGTCCCATACTGAATATGTAGACAAATATATACCATTTACATGTATGTATGCATATCCACACACATGTCCACACACATCTCTACGTACACATATCTTCAAAAATTGTTGTTGCTATGCAAAAATGACTTTCCATGAAAAAAACTTATTCAGTAATTCCATGTGGACAGAATCTTAGTATTTACTGAAGCAGTATTTCATATTTTCAAAAATTAAAGACTTAACACTTATCTAACAAATAATTTATACCAAAGTTAATGAAATTCTTATGCTAAGTTTCCATCACAAAGATAAACATGTGTGGGTTAATACCGTCTACTTAAATAAAATGTGTCTGTTTAACTTTTAACTACAGCAAGTAAATGTAGCTAAACAGATTTTCACACAAGTTGGAAGCTTTATTTAGTATGTCTATCTTAAAATGCAGGCTATGTGACATATGTGAAATTCACTTTGAGAGGCCAGAGAGAAGGCGATAAGCACCTCAAAGAAACAGGCGGTCACCTTTGGGGCAGTGGAAACCAAAAAGCATAAGGAAAGATCATCATGATAGCCAGTCGAGAGGAACAATGCCATGTGTTTTAAGAAACAGGCTAAGAGAAAAACTGATTTCAAATCCAAGTCCCATACTGAGTATCATGACTGTAAGCAACTTTCTGGATTTTAGGTAGTGCATCACAAAAAGTGGTTTCTCGCATAGACAATTCTATATAAAATGCTCTAGGATAGGGGTTGGTAAACTTTTTTTCTGTAAAGGCCAGGTAGTAAATATCTTAGGCTTTCCTGGCCCATACAGTCTGTGCTGCAACTACTCAATACAGCCACTGAGGCAGAAAAGCAGCCACACGATAGTATGTACATGAATGAGAGTGGCTGTGATCTAAAAAGATTTTATTTACCAAAAAAAAAAAAAAAAATCCTTGAGCCAGATTTAGGCTACAGGACATATTATGCCAACCCCTGCTCTGAGTGAAAGCTCTCAATATTTTTTTCTAATAGCAAGTAAGAAACATTCGTCACATTACACATGTGCAATATATGCATAGGTATGTTTCACAATACAATATTTATTAGAAGTGAGGTACTTTGGTATTTCTTATTCTGTTTTATGGGGAGTTTTCTGTTTGTTTTGGGGGAATTTTTTTTCTTTTAAGTACCATCAGAAATCACTAAGTTGATCTCACAAATGGGTAGTGATTCACAGTTTGAAAAAAGCTGTGAACAGCAGCTGGGACTTACTCATTTACTGATTATCCCAAGCAAAACAGGAAGCCTTCTAGGAATATGTGGTTATCTGTTGGATGTTTTGTATGTACCATGCCCAAGCTTATGTTCTAGGAATCTAGCAGTTTAAAAAAGACAAATATTGCCCCATAATAGCTAATACTGTTGTAGGTTATAAAAGGTGAATGCTCATGTTTATAAAATACAATAATAATTTTTAATATCTACATAACTCATAAAGCTATTATGAAAATGAAGCATTTAGTAGATCATCTGGCACATATCAAGTATTCACTAAGTTTCCATATCACCATTATTCAAATAATTAAGTACCAAAATGTACTTTTAAAAATCAAGTTGAGTTATAATCTATACAAGTAGGCTTTAAAATAAATTAAAATTCTATTTAATTAATTAAAATGACCTTATCTATATTATTTAAAAGTGGTTAGGTTTATAGTAATGATATATTGGTAGTCAGTCAAAGTGTAAAACACAGAACTTTAAACTCCCCTGGCTCTCCCTTCCTTCCTCCACACCCCCAAAAAAGCCAGAGAAGATGCAAAGGTTTAGACTCCATTCCCAAACCACATGCTATCTTTAGATCAATTTTCACCATCAAGTGACCAGTAGCAGATGATGCAGGTGAAAAGATTCAAGAAATATAAAAGATGCTCTAAAATCTATGTTAAAAAGATTACTGCTGTACATAAACTTCCCTAAAACCAACCTTTTAATAAAAAATTTGATTTTGCATATTAAATAATTATTTTGCATTATCAAAACAACCTCTAAATGTGAGCTCCATAAAAGCAGAGATTTTTGTTTGCTTTTTTTTCACTGCTATATACCCAGAATTTAGAAATATCCTTGTTGCTTAGTAGATTCTATTTGTTGCATGCAATAGTGAACAAAGGAAAAATAACTTCTCAATATGTTTATGGAATTCAAAAAATTAATATAAAATGTAAATCATTTAAAAGTAACATATTTAAGGATTTTTTGACATTTCTAGCTTAACTGGTTTATTAATCTTCTGAATGGTCAAAAATGAATGTCTGCAAGCATTTTTATATAGTTAAAGAAATAATCTTACCTTCTTTTTCTACTCTAAAAACAAAAGTTCTTTGTGTTGTAACAACTTCAAATTTGTTGTCTCCTTGAACTCGTACTGTAGATATAGCAGAAAGGGGAATTATTCCTTTTGAATACTTCTCCTGTATTGGTTAGAGAAAAAGATACACAAAAGATAAACAAAGAAGACAGATTAAAATGAAATTCTTTTTATTTTTTATTTTTTTTAAAAAAGAATGGCACAATATTAACAAGTGCCTCTTTTTCATGATTTCAATCTAAATTTTTTAAATGGCATACAAATAGCATATACCCCCAGAAAGGAAATTATTATTCCTCCTTTCAAGTGAAATGTCTTTTCAATATTCTCTTCATATGGAATTAAAAATGAAGAATCAAATAGAAACAATTGTATTACACCAGTAGTATGTATTTCCAAAAAACAGCAGTATGTTCTTTAAAACAATCTAGTTAAAATGATTTTATGGTGTTTGCAGGCATCTGCTGGCCATAACAGGTACTGTAACTGAACCATTTCAGAACTATTGCTATGACATATTATGAACAACATGAATACATCTAAGAAACCAGACTGCTGGATTATATCAATTAACCTTACCACTGAATTCTCTGATGAAGATATTAATCTCAAAACTGCATCAGTTTACTTTTTAATCCCCAATGACTAAGTAAAATAAGATGGATTTAGCTATCTGCAATTGACATATACATATAATTTTGCTCAAGGAAACCATTCTTGACTCTTGATAACTTTCTTACTCGTCATTTTCTTGGACCTTCCTAAACCATTTGGCATAATGACCACCTTACAATTTCAACTATTGAAAAGGGTGTGACATTTATGGGACCCTGTTGGAAATAAAATTCAAACATTATATATACGTTCAAGGAAACTCAAAATGAAAAAAACAGCTAATGTGATTAGAGAAAAATTTAAAACTGAAGTACAAACCTTGGAATATAAGAGTACAAAGATGGGAATTCTCCATTCTGCTTCAAAGAAGTCAGATGTGTTTTTAAGAACATGATGCTATCTGGGCCCGATTTTTTATGAAAGCTTAAGTTTAAACCTAAGCTTAAGAGGAGCCTCAGTGTATAGTCAAAAGAGATGAGACTGAAAACATATACCAAGGGTACAAGATGAAACGTCCTGAATATCAAGAGTTTGGACATATTCTTATGGGGTTTCTTGTACGTTACCCTTCCACAGCATTATTCATGGAACCTTCATTTCTGAGTAGGTCCCAAGTATCTCAAACAATTTATTAGGAGAAAATATGTACTAAACCAATCCATGCAGAGAACAAATACAACATTCACATTCATCCCAGAGGTAAGCTCCCATACATAGCAGATAGATAAGACACAGTCACTGTCAGCAACACAGCATTCCACTGGGAGGTTATCCTCTGCTAGTTGAGAAGAAATACTACCATGACAGTCCCTCTTAGTTCTCTGACAGTTTCTTCTTCACTACCCCTGCTCCAGTTTCCCATCACTCATTTGATATTATCACAATCCTATCCATTCTTTACCACCACCTTACATACCAATCCCATTAAGGCTTTCCTCTGTCCTTTCACACGGCCAAAACTGAACGATATTTGAACTGTGATTTAGAAATATGACTGGGCAACATCACAGATAAAGGAGAGGGGTGTTGAGAAGTAATTATAAAGTTACTTTTTCTTCTCCTTATTTTCCATTTTTTTAATCTTCTCTCCCTAAGAAAGAAACCCCTTTCTTGCTATTTCAGCTACCAATTTTATAGAGAATTCTAAAATCTGTCTCTTCATTATCTAATTCAGTCAACCCCACTCCCATATTTCAAGTCATCGATGATGCACATAACTATCCCATCAGCACCTCAAACTTGAAAATTGAATTATCTCGTGAAAACATATCCTCCCTATCTGTCCATCGAAATATTACTCTTCTCGTCAATCAGTCTCAGAGTCGTCTTTTATCTGTTCTGATCTTTTGCACCCACATAACTTGGGACTCTCCCTTCACCTAGTGTCAACTTGTTCCCTGACACTCCTCGACTCTTTCTAGACACATTAGCCTTCTTGAAGTTCCCTAAACATACCTTGCCTCTGCCCAATCTAGTGCCTCTGTTTGTTTTGCAAGGACGTTTTTCATACCCAGTTTCACATAGTTAAGTGTGCTTCTTCACACTTCACACACTCCTGAAGAAAGCCTTTCTGACCAGCCTCTTCCCTCGGGCCCTTCCTTATCCTTACCTAGGCAGATAACCCTAATTTAAGCTCATAGCAACCTGCACTTTTCCTTTATAGCAATTACTAAATATAATTTAAATGATGATTTTTATATTTACTTTGTGATCATTTGATTAACACACTCTCCCCAAAGACACTGTGAGTCGCGTGTCTTATTTTCCTCACCACCTTTCACATAATCAGTATTACATAAATATTCTCTGAATTTTATGTCCAATCACAATTATACTAAACTCTGACAGCTCATGTTTAATATTTTTGTGAATTCATTTTTAACACTTCCACTGGCCTGTATACCCTACACCCTGATAAATTAAAGCCTGAGTTATTGGAAACTCTCCTAATTTCCCTGTAACCTTTTTTGCATTTTATTGTTCAAACGTCTTAGTTGGAGAAAATAAAGAGACTCATGGAGGAGAGTAAAAAGATGGGTATTGAAGTTTGCACAGGATTTTGATGGATGGCTAAGAAGTTTCCAAGGAATGAACAAAAATATGGAGGTGAAAACATAGGAAAAGACATGCTCCAGTTCTGCAGTGTGTACCCAGACACTGTTGAAAAGGTCATTACAAAGAAAGAAATGAAAAGGCTGGCGTAACAGAGGAAACTCAATAAATGCAGGTGGGTTACAAAGACCAGACCACTTAGTGCTTTAAAAATGAGAGGTGGCAGAGAATGTCCCCCCATTGTAAGGCAACCTAAGACTTGGGAAACGGCACAGCACCCCTGGGGACAGAGGAAGGGCCTCCCTGGCTGTAAGTTTGTAGTAGCTGAGACTAAACAGTGATAAATCTAGAATGTGAAAAAATATTTATATTTTATTCTTTAGGTGATCCATTCTTAAATTTTAGTTTGCTTAAGAATTAGAAAAGCTTATAAAAATACATCTCTAGTGAACTAATTAACTTTATGTTGAATATATTGTTACCATTAACTCATTTTTTCCAGTAGAGAAAAATCAAGCTGCACTCTAGGAAAAGAAACAAGAATTTTAAAAAGGAGACTATTTCCCTCCTCTAGAGCTCGTTCAAGAGATTAAAATATAGTTCCTTTAAAAAATAACTCATCTACATGCCTACAATAATATTTTTAACAGGTAAGTATTTGTGAAATAGTAGTAGAAAAATAAATTCTCTAGAAGTGATCAAAATGTACTTAACAAGCTAAATACTGTCATTTTAACCTCAGGAAGTTGTAGTTTTTCTAATGACTCATTTATAATCTATTATGATATCCCAAGATAAATCTTGTAATTTTTAACACTGTAGAGTTGATTTCATATTTCTCTTCTAACGAAATATGATAAAAACAATACAGAAAAGAAAAAACAACTCAATGAAAACAGGCTCAAAATGACCGTTTTTCAGAGTGTAAAATTTTCCGCAAAGAAAGAAATTTTAAAGCATCCCTTGAGCCTGTAACACACAGATATCTAGGTCAAGTTTGTCATTTATCTACCACTTTCAGACAATGAAACGACCACAGGGCAATTCTGCCCACAGCTGAGTGAGAATGGGGGTGAGTTAGATTTCTTGGCAGGTGATAAGATATCAAGGCTGTTGAGATGTTGCCATTTTCAGTAATATAATGAAAAGTCCTTGCAGAGACATGATTGAGCAGCAGTGAGTAAAGTGGAAGAAAACTAGGGAAACAGGCAACACTGTACTCTGCCTCCTGCAAGCCCAACCTCATGCTCCTCAAGTGCACATTTAAACGCTGAAAGACCCACCCACTTGGTGCACTTGACCACTAAAACTGCACACCTGACACAGTGGCTATGAATACATATACACCTTCTGTTCACTGGCCTTGAAATCCTCTCTTCCCAATCCACCAATCCATCCATTTTGGCACATGGGTCACAACAGAAATCATATCTCCCTTTAAGAAACACCCGCCCCAGGGTTTTTTTGTTTTGTTTCGTTTTGGTTTTTTTTGCCAAGATGAAACCAATCATCTGAATAGCAAAGGGAAGAATAGCCACAAGAAACAACAATTTGAATTGCTTTAAATATTTAAGTTAAAAGATTTGTAACAATTCATTTTAACATGAACTTTTTATCTCAATTTCAAACCAAGGCTGCATCACTTTTATTTCATCAATATCTAAAAATGTGATAGGCAGTCATCTCCTCACTGCACTTGAGATGAGCTTTTAAAGGACAGAGTGAGTCCAGTTGGACAGAGACACCAGAAAGTCTCTCTCTCAAATGGGGATAACGAAACCACCAACAAACGAGCCTCATGGCATGAAAGCCTGTCTCATTCCTGAAGAGTTTTCCTTCTCATTTCGATCAAACCAGAGAAGGGCACAGGTGCTGAAAAAGACTAAGGGTCAGATTCCACCAGATACAGAGACCACATGGTACCCACCCTAGGCACAGAAATTGTCTCAACATTCAAATTCACAAGCGAACTAAAAACAGTAGCTAAGGCAGAAAATTGGCTTGTAAAAAATATTCATTCTGCTACCTTGCAAACTTTAAAAAGGTGTGTTTAAACCCTCTTTGATGCTTTATCTGGATCGTGCAAAGTGACACCAATTAACACTTCTCTAAATTTTCCATTACTTAGTGTTGGAGCATGTAGTGTGTGTTACTTTCTGTCTAAAAGCATATACTCTTCTGCCCTGCAGCACTGAAGAAACAGTATGTGAAAGGGACTCTCTGTCTCTATTCAAACCCCAAATATCACCAATGTTAAGCAGTAGTAATCTCTAAATAATAGGAAAATAATGTTAGATTATAAACTAAAAGAATGCGGTTAAGTGTTAAACAAGTGTGTTAAAAGAATGATATGATCAAAACTATAAAATTACCCGATTTTAATTAACTAAAAATATGGTATATTTATTAGTCCCAACTTTTTGTTAAGGGAATTTTCAAACATACAGAAGTTGAAAGATTAGTGCAATGGACACCCATATATGCTCTACTTAGATTTGACAATATATTCAGTTTTTGTTTCATCTAACTATGCATGTGTGCAAATATATTTGTAAACATAAATATATACAGAGATATAGGTAACATCTGAAAAACATTTGTGGATACAATGACACTTCACACCTAAATGTTTCAACCTACATGTCCTAACAATAAAGATGTCCGCTTATCTAATGAGAAGGACATGATCAAGACAGTGTCACGTCATTTAGACTCCATTGTCTAAAGAATATATTATAACCACTTTCACATAATAAAAATTTTCAATGAGTTCTTACTCTAAACAACCTTCTCAGCTTCATCTCCCACAAATCTCCTTCACATACTCTTTTCTCCATTACTCTAGCCATGTAGATAGATTTTCCATCTGGGCATCTCAATGTTCTCTCTGCTAACATGTCCTGCACTATATTTTCTCTCTGTACAAACATTCCTCTTTCTTCAAGAGCCATGAGAAATGACATTTCATGCAAGAAGCCTTCCTTGGTTCTTCCACAAACCCTTCCAAAGAACAGAGTAACCTCTCCTTGCTTTGCCATTCCCTACTGTGGTGTCATTTTGCAAACTTTCTTTGGTGCTCTCTAAGATAAAGGCACATGCTCATAGCATTTCTGTAGGCTGTACAAAATATTCCATAAATAATTGTTAGATATGTAAAATTTTTTAAAAATCTCAATTTTATGTGTCAAGAAATAGTTCAATTATGAAAAGAATAAGTTTTTATTTATCCTATTCAAATTCTTTTCATGTTGATTATCCAACTCCCATTCTTAAAAACCAAATCACTTGCTCCGTTTACTGTACACTTAGTATGCATAAAGCAATCTTTGAACACTATAAAATGTACTTACCTTCTCATTATTGTAATAAGAGATGCTAAAGCCATCAAATTTCACCCATCTCTTCTGAAACATGCGTTTTCTATAAAACATAGGAAATTGTTATTTTACATTTAAGTAACATGAACTTGAATTTTAAATACATTTGTAATGAAACTACATTGAGTATATTCCGGTTTCCTGTTAAACAGTACAGAAAACAATAGGCTAAGACAATGTACAGTTCTGGCAATGGTGCACAGGAAAATGACACTTGCTAATCAGCCGACACAGGTAGTTAAAGCAATGATACTGTTGACAGTGTTGTCATCCACATTTGTAAGGTTGAGTGCAAAACAAAGTGTGGTCAGACACGCTATCAGTACACTTCTTTCCCTTAATGGGGATAATCCTTTAATGAAGATAATATAAACGTTCATCTCTCATTAAACTTTTAACATTTATCTTATTTTACCTTAATTTTTGCTTTAGAGCATGAATAATAATTTGCTAAAATAAAAAAGTTTTGTCAATTTGGTTTACACAAATTATTTAATTATGATTGAATAAGCCTTGCCTAAATATAGAGATCATTTACAATCACCCAAAATTCACTGAAACATTAACCTTTTTTGAAAAAGAATCATATAAAAGGAGAATGTCATTTAAAATGGTTACTGACATGAGAAACAAAGCAAAATAATGTAATCACACATTTTCTGTTTAGTCCTAAAAGAGTAAAAATCTTTTTCTGGCTATGTAAGGAAAAAGTAAAGAACCATTTCTACTTGAGGGTTTTTGTTGTTGTTGTTGTTCATGTGTAAGGAAAAAGTAAAGAACCATTTCTACTTGAGGTTTTTGTTGTTGTTGTTGTTCTTGTTGTTGTTGTTGTTGTTTTGGGAGGGGTTCTGTTTCTAGTCCCTTCCGTGAAGACAGACAACCCTAAAGGTTTAGAATATCCTCTTGTCTAAGTGGCTTTCAGTATGGACTGATACAGTCTAGATACTTTTAGCCTTTAACACAGATAAGATATAAAAACTTAGTGTTTTTAAGTCATTTCTAAACAAATACATAAATAACAACCATGTCTATCCTTTCCTTTTGCAGTGTCCTAACATGTTGAAGATAAGGAACTGGCATAACTTTCTGAGATAGAGAAAGGACTTCAGGAAGTGTAGAGAATTTGTCTTCCAGGCTTTTTCCTGAGCAGCATACAGCTATTACTCAAGCAAAATGCAGGGGGCCTCCCATTAAGCACTGAATTGTGAAATAACATGTAGACTTTAAAATCAACCTACTACCGCAACCTACTACCCAGCCCTCTCTCCAACTTACTCCCTCATCTTTCTGCTTCTTTTTAACTTCTCTTGGTCTGCAAAGTGTTTTCTTAATACTGCAATACATGACATTGTTACAGATATCTGATTTTCATTTCTTTCACCAATTCAAGAGTTCCTCAAATTCCCAGAAGTAAAATTAAAAAGTGAAGAAATACTATCAAACACACAATAATACACTGAACAAAATCAGTTCACACGCATTTCATGTTGATCTTGTCATATTTAAAGGCAGGTAAATACACATCTTCCCACACAATCTCAATGGCAATTCTATAAACCAAGATTTGGTTTGGGCCCCAGCTGCCATACATTATGAATGGTAGTAAAATAGCTCTGTAACTTACAACTTTCCATTTTATTATAAAAATAATCAACATCTATGTGTAGATAAATTCCTTAGGACCCTCCATTATCTCTGTATTCCCCTTGTCAATTATTCCTTATCTTTAAGAGTTCTACCTAAACCACCTCCAAGCATTTCTTCTCTAATGAGCCAATTCAAACAGAATACAAAATTATTCTCAAAGCACCCTCCCCTTTTCCTCATAGCTCTTAATACAATTTCCAATTATACATATCTGTGTACATGCTTAATGTCTGTCTCCCACACCAGCCCTTATGCTTTACAAGGACGAAGTCCAAGAACATTTCATTTTCTACTCCATGATCAGCAACTAACACAGAGACAAATAAAGCACTAAAAAAAGAATTCCTTGAATGAATGAGTGACATGAGTGTGAGTGGCTGGCTCCTTTTCCTTGGGTTCTCAAATGTCCTTCCCTCCAAGTAGCCCTCTCTGACTCCCACATAGATCCTTCGGGTCCCCTGGGTCTCTTGCTCCATATCATTACTTAACCACACTTCGTAGATTTTGTAATTATATATTTGTTTTGTTTCATTCATCTCCCATGCTAGATGTTGAGTTACTTGAGTGTAGAAACCATTTATGTTTTGTTTCTCACTGTAAAACCAGTGACTACCACAGTTTCTAGTATATAAAATGTGCTTAATATATATTTAATGAACAAATGAGTGAATATATTTTCACTGAAAAATACTCAAATTTGCATTTTATATGTAGAGAAAATAAATACTAATAAAACACTTCACTTTTAATTTCATTTTTTGCTTTTTTCAAATACTACAGATCAGATTTTTATGTGACCATATAAAAGCTTTGTAAAACTATCTCATTAAAGAAAAATTAGAGCCTACAGAAAATCTGAAAAATCATTAATTTCCATTTAATTTTAAAATACATTTTAAATATTTTAAAATTATATTCTTTAAAATTTACTCATTTGGTATTTTTCTATTTAAAATGCAAATTAATCAACTTAAAAGATATCTCTAAAACTAAATCTATATAAACAATATTTTGCTCACTAGATGTGTCAACATTCAATTAGCTATTTTCTTCACGTGAACTTCAATACCTAATTCTAATAACTGGCTAATTAAAAAAATGTACATTTAGATCCTTTCTCACAATATTATTCCCCTTTCTACCAAATAAAAAATTGGATTTAATATTGGTAAACCCTATAAATTAATCAAAATTTCAACTAAAATATTAAAAGAGCTTGAGAAGGATGTATTTCTAAATGTAAATGTACAGCTTTAGTTAATAAATGCTGGTGAATATTAAATTTTTAAGAATTATCTTTTTTGTGCAAGAATTAAATATTTCTCTCGTGTATTTAACAAGTCCACTAAATTTCAGGCAACTAATTCCACTAGAATTATGTAAAATTAATCTACGACACACAGTTAGAGGTTGCTAAAATACTTTACACATTTTCTCTAAGTTATGCCTTTCTCTTAAATATCTTTTAACAACTGAATTTGTTTAGTAAATGTTAAGAAAAAAAGACAAAGTATGAAATATGATGTCACCCTAGCCTGTGTTCCTACTATCACATGACAGGAATTAGACCTGAAGAGATTTTAAACCCTTAGTCAATTAACAATTTATTTGGCACAATAATATTGGTAATAAAAACAACAAACACGTATATAGTGCTTTGTTCTAGGCACTGCTGCAAGCTATATACAAATATTCATTCATTTAATCCTCCAAATAACCATATAAGTAACATTATTCCCATTTTACAGATGAAGGCACAGAGGCACTGGTAGATTTAATAATTTGCCCACATCACACGACCAGTAAAGAGCGTACCTGGGAGTCAAATCCAGGCAGCCTGTGCTCTTAACCATGTGCAAACCCGACTCTAGCACATTTTATAGCAAAGCCATCTGGACATCCCTTTAGGCAGCAATAACATTTGACCTCTGCCCATTTTATGAGTTCAATTTTGCCAAGTACTTCGGAATTCCTTCAGGAAAAAAGGTAAAGTAGACAAGAAACATATTAGCCTAGGTTTTATCCTATTTTGTTTTTAGGGTTCTGAAGGGAAACATTTCTTTAAGAAGCTTTTTAAGAATAGTTTATAAGACTTGTGCAGTGTTACTGAATGGATTTCTACAAACTCTTCCCTTGAGCCGAGGTAGGGCAGGTGGTCTAAAGTTTCAATTGCTTTCATAAATACAACTTCACCACCTGGTGTCAGTTTCTGTTGTGCCAAAATTATGTATCTTAAAAAATTCTTTTTAACAACAGTGTATATACAAACAATTAAATCTCTATTTACAAAGTGTTAACACAGAGGTGCTTCTGTTTAATATCATTCCTAAGTGCCAGAAGGATTTTTTTAAAAAAAGAGTTCATCTGATAGCTTTAAAAAAATTCCCCAAATCAAACAAGCATGCTACTAATGATAGTTAAGATGGCAGAGGCTACCAAATTGTCATTTTTAAATATCAAACAACTGGAATGAACCTTAAAGGCACTAAGTCAAATATATAGCTTAATAAACCATGGTACTTAAATTATCACAAACACACATGTTAATCATTCTAAACAATATATGAGAAAAAGTATATCAATATGCTTTTCCAGATTCATCTCCCTCTTTTACATAATCCTAAAGTATTATATGCACATTTTATCATTCTCTGCCCTAACCCTAGACACAATATTTTTTAAACTACAATTTCCGAAAGTATAGATTTTTATCTAACCGCTCATTTTTTATTTAGCTAATTATTTTACCTAATTACTCTTTTAAGTATGACACTTATAAATGATGTAATATTAGTTATGAAGTATTTTATAGATACAGTTCCAAGGAATTATTATATTTCTATAAAATTCCAGCATGTTTCTAATCTAAAAAGCATTTCCTCTCTTTTAAGCAAACCAAAATGAGAGCTTCCAAGATTATATGAACCAAAATGTGTTTGGAGTAAAAAAAAAACAAAACAAAAATTCTCTAAAATCCCAGCTTCCATCTGCGCTATATCTAACCCTTCAAATGAGAAAAGTATATTATTTAACATAAAATTCCAGGTGCTGAAAAGACTTTTTAAAGTCAATGATAAAGCGTGAATTTTTGTGTGTGACAACCAATTTTTACAAAGAGCTTAGTGATTACATGATATACGAAAAAGCTATGTTAAAAGATTCACACTTCTATTGTAAGGAGTCATACTCTGTTAAAAAAAAAAAAAATCCAACGTGAAACCAGCTTCTAGTCAAGATGATCAATTAAAAACTTGCATCTACCACTACCTCTCCCCAAACTTCAAAGGATTAAAAAACAAATAAAAATAAATACCTACAAACCAACACTGAAGACTGGAACAATATTTAGAAATCGGGAAAGCAGAAGGAAGGAAAGGAAGTGATTTAGGGGGCTTC